ATTCCCGAAACCAGGTTGATTTCATAACACACATCTCGGTCCGGAGGAAAGACCGACAGCGGGTCTTTGGGATAACGTCTTGAAATTCACTTACAAAATGATAGTACGGATCCGAGGGATCCTTTAGCTTGACGATCCACTTCGTGCGTTCAGCACCCTCTTTGTGTCCTCCAGGACAGCTTCATCCAGAAGCGACGACGAGTTTATCTCCTCATTCGGTCGTATAATGACCACCTCAGCTAAATATCATACCTTCAAGGCTCCGCCAAACTTTCCGAAGGACATCTCGACGAGCTCAAGAAGAGCATTCACCGTGGGAAGAGCCTTGAGGCTGACGTCGCCATCTTCCTCTCCCGTCATACCGTTGACAAGGGCATATTGCTGTGAGCTATCGTCTACAGTAGACAAACCCTGGGTCAAAGTCGACGCCCGGCGACTTGCAGATAACATACAGCATCGCCGTCGCCTCTCTCTGGATATTCTACATCTCATCAGGACCAGTGGAAACACGCACTGGGCGACATCCAGTGGTCCACTCCCTGCTCCATCGGAGAGTTGATGTTATTAATAACATTCGACGAAGAGCTGCTATTTCAACAGCCTCCGTCCAGTGGATGACGTGCCACTCTACGCGCGTCAGAAGCGCCTTGCTTAAGATGTCTCGGACCGTTAGACCATGCCACTCTTTGAATGCACCAACTGTTTCGAAAAGTGGGCTGTGCTCAGTGGGTTATGTGCCACTCCACGTGCATCACAAGAGCCTCGCCTTTAATGCATCGGCCCTCGGTCGGCCATGCCACCCTTGGCATGCAGCGACTGCTCCAATACTTGAGCGGCACTCAGTGGGTTACGTGCCACTCCACGTTCAGCCCGCGAGCAACGCTCGGAAATCTTGTCCAATACATCTTTAGTGTTCGCCAACTCGGATATTCCGATATTTTGCACTTTGACCGTCCCGGTCCAGTGCCCGCGCCAAAAGCGCTTCTGCTTTCTAGCAAAGGTAGATTCATGACTCATCAAAGCTCCGTCGGGATCAAGCGCGCAGCACCCAAGGCCTTCGACCTCCAATCAAATCATAGCTCATAGTGTTCCAACCATTCCATCCCAGGGATAAGCTAATTCCTTGCATCCGAGTCTAAGATTAGACAGCGTTCCCCGCTATCAAAGTCTAAAATCTTGACAACGAGGTCTACAGATCTCCTTGGCAGAGTGACACAAGTCCTCATCGCTAAGCGAACAGTGGTGGTGTCACTTAACCGCGCTTCCAGCGCTTCAGCATACAGCTAAATTCCTTCGATCGTGGAGCGTCGAGAATAAAAACTTGACGCACCAAAATCAATAAGAATTTTTTTTGGCTCATCAGAGCCGATCACGGCCGCTTTTACGACCAGCAAGCCCAGCTTTCACACACGTTCCGTGTTCAAAGCCCAAAGTTCTGCAGGGCTGGGCCCTGCAGCCCTCTATTTGTTTGAGGCTCAGCAGAATTCAGTTCCCTCCCCAGCAAAGCACCCTACGCCTACTAGGACTTCTCATTCCCCTGCGTCAAACCAGACTGGTATGAAGCGAAACGTCGTTTTGATGAACATTCACGCGGCTTGCGCAAGATACCCCCATCCCGAAGGTGACGGGTGTCTCCACAGACAAAACACCGTCGGGTGTCTACGCGCTTCTCAGCAGCTCGGAGCTTTCCCTCCTCCTTCTCAGCATAGCTGAGATCCATTGGCTCCGGCTTGTTCGACGAGCTCTAAGGGTGCGCATTCCAACCAAGTCGTGCCGACTTGAAGTCGAATTCGGCATTCAATGCCATTTTTCCGCTTCATCAGAGAAGGTGGATGCACACAGAAGTTTTCATTCTGGTCACGCCAGTACGGTGGCTCTCTATAAAGACGGTCACTGCGACCGCGTCGGTGAGAACATTCGCTGCCCTCCCGGCAATGAGTGTTCTGAACTCTTGGACAAAGCTCACCAATTCCTACTTTCCTGTCGTGTAATGAAGAAACGCGATCGCACGCGATATGCTTGATTAGGCGGCGAGAGCTCTCGCAAAAGCTGACGACTTAGCTCCTACCAGGAGGGTAACGCAGCTTCTCGTGCCTAGTCTCGCGCTCGGCCCCCGAGCTTGGAGATTGCTGGCGCCGAGCGCTGTTGCTCGTTCTGGAGTATGGTGGATGCCGTTGCCATCTCGACCTCTCTCACGAATAGCATCTTTTCTCCATCCCTAATCTCGAAAACCTTTACGCTTGACATGAGGGGCCTGGGTCGGGGTAGTCATCTGTTGTTGATGGTGGCTTCATGGACGCAGTTGATACCGACATTACCTGCTCAAAGTGCTCTAGTAGATAATTCTCATAGCTTTCAAATACCTCTAGGCACGCGCTGATTGCTTCAGGTCCTTGCTAAGCGGAAGTATTACATGCCTTAATGTCGATGACCTTCGTTCTATACTTAGAGCCAACACGCCTGTAGCGGATCGATTTTGTACTTATTCTTACTGTAATTACAACCTTTGTCGAGGCTAATTAAATGTTCCGCTCAAAATGTATTGTGTTTTTCTCGGATTTAATTTGCGTCAAAGCCGCCTATATCAAATCTATAAAATTTATTACTTACCCAAATCAAGAATATAACTAATGGCAGTCCAGCCACGTATTAACTTCTTGTTTAAGTAAAGCCACACCATTGTGTACTCACGCCATCTTTATTTTCTCAAATATTTGTGTTATCACACCATATTGTGACCAAAATCCTTCATACCAGGGCACGTGAAACCCCGTTACAAAAGATCTATCAGCTCATAATACCCAATTTTGAACGCTCCGCATGTACAAGTGTGTTGCACAATACGTGTAAACATGCGATGTCTGTCAGCACGCAAGTGCCACTGCAGAAACTTCTTGTTCCTACTGACTTTTAAAAGTCAGTTGGTCCCGACTTTGTGATCGGCTTCCCCAAAAATACTGATGACAACAAAGGCACTCGTCTTTATGACAGACTCAGCAAGATGGCTTGCATCGCTCTGCATAGCATTCCATTGATGCCGTAGGTTTGGCTAAATCGGTAATTAATCACATTTTTCGTAATCATGGGTTGCCAGATGTCATCGTGTTACACTTTAGAAAGAATTGATCAAGATTTAGGCACTCGCTTGGATATGTCCACAGCGGTATAGATGGACAAACAGAACATGCCAATTGAGCGGCTGGCGGTGTGTTGTGCAGCTTCTTTGCGATCAATTCTGCAGAATGGCGTTCGTTGTTACCATTGATTGAGTTTGCTATGAAAGTTCAATCATCCACCAATTTACGCCATTTTATATGAATGGATTGCGACAGCCTTGTAAAAGACTGTTCACGTAACAGACCGCTAAAGCTGTGATGACGTTCCTGGAATTTCCTGCTAAAACGTCCTAGAAGATTGAGCACATCCACCTTCTAATTATTCTAGCTCACATCCATGAAGAACCTTCTTAAGCCGTAACATTTTTTATACTCGATATTGTTGCATCAGCTCTATTTTCTTTGGTATCTTCCTCAGCTAGCACCCAGCTATAGATATACAATTTCCTTACATTCTATGTTATTCTGCAAAGTAAGTCTTTGAAACTGATAATATGTTTGTGCCCTTCAATGCCGAAAGTTATTTCGGTCTTCTAACCTAACTCAGATGTGTTGCAGTAGCCATTAATACAAAAAATTCTTACAACCCTTTTACAAATTTTCTCTATCGCTGCATTATCACAATAGAAAGCCGCTTAGTCAACTTGTTTGTTTGTCAAAAAAGATCCATTGCATCTGACCCTTTACATTCTTAAAAGCGCAGCCGCAACGGGGAAAGAAATTGGTCATGAAGGTTTTCAACAGCTCCATGGTACTACCCTCCTTCGCAGTCTTGGCTTCAATATTTGCAGGGGGATCAGCAACTAAGATGCACAAGATATCACAGGTCTTTGTGGATAAATAAAAATGGTTTTTGGTGCGAGCCATCCGCATGAAAGCAATCATAGCAAATGCTGATTTCTGTTTTTTTTTTTAGCATGTAAAAGGTATTCCTTTAACGATGGCTCGATCATTTGAAAATTTCGATTACCTTCACAGCATCAAGGAACCAGAAGTCCGTTTAGAGTTGTTAAAATAATTAGTGTTTGTTCGCGAGTTATAGATGTGATTAGGTTTCCATTTCTAAGAATATTAAATCACTCAGCCCAAACAGCTTTTTGTTAGTATGGACTTCCTGGCGAGTTTCTTTGCATCGCAATATAGTCTTTCTTTTGAAGTAGTGGTAAGCTTTATATTTTTCCTGCAACATATGTTTACTCAAAGTATGTCAGAAATTCACATTATCAACATAGTTACGGGTAAATAGTTCAGAGTTTCATTAGGAGCAACAAAAAATTTATGGATCAGTAAGAAGACTAGACTTGGAAAATGCCGAACATAGATCTCAAACTTTGCCGAATTGAGACCTCGGCCATCCATGTGTTTCGGAGTAAAGTTATCCCTTCCGCTGTACAAGACACTAGATTCAACCCTAAAATATCCTTGGGTGCCGATTACTTCACATATAAGAGTGTGAACCATTGTTTATCGAGCAGAGATGGTAAAGAATGACCTTCTCTCAGCTAGCTCTCATGAACTTCTCTGTTATAGCGGTTCTCCAAGAGTCTTAGCGTGCGACCGATCCTGAAAAATACCAATTTTCCAATCAGGGCGATTTCACTTTCTAGCTTGATGTTCCTCCAGCTGTATTATCGCTCAAAAAGAGAGAGTAGCCCAGCTATGTGAACTGGTAAGGACGGCAGAGCTCTGTCTTGAATGCAGTACTTTAACTTCGACTGACTCTTGAATTATAACGGGAGTTATACGTATCCATGTATGATAGGGTGCGTCACACAAGATCGTGTGACCGTGCATTGGTGTGAATTACACAAGTTGGTGTAATTACACAATAGTGTGGCTAAAGCGTAACAAGAAGAAACTTCGGGCGGATTACCACTAGTAATGCATATAAAATAGGTTTGACAATATTAATTAGGTAATAGTACATATAATCGGGAAAACCTTAGGTTTTAAGTATTGGAGGATCTGCCGCAACCAAATCAGTTAAAAATTGTTGAAATTCTGAACGGGAGATTCTCTATACCTTGGCTGAGCTTTTAAGTACTCTAGGAGGCGGCGGATTGCGATCCGCTGCACTCATACTGGTTCTTGTAAAAAAAGTGAGGTCGGTGACCTTAGCTTACCTTCCATAAGCAATAAGCTACGGCAGCCTTAATGCCCTTGGTAACACTCGTAGTCAATCTACATCTGAACCTTGGTGAGGATGAAGTAATACTTTTATTTGCCCCAGGGCATGCAGGACGGGCTCAAAAAGCTGATGTCCCTTTTTGGTCATGAAGGCGTGCAACACCTTGCAGAGAAAGGACCTGAAGCGATCAGCGCGTGCCTAGACGCATTCAGAAGCTATGAAAATGCTCTGCTAGAGCACCTTGAGCAGATAATGTCGGTATCGGCTGCAGTCATGACGCCACCGTCGACGATGGATGACTACCTTCGACCGGGCCCCCCTCATGTTGAGCGTTAAGATCTTTGAGGGTAATGATGGAGGAAGGGTGACATAGGCCGAGATGGCTACGGCATCCACCATTCTCCAGACTGTGCAACAGCGCGTAACGCTAGCTATGTCCAAGCTCGGGGGCCGAGCGCGAGAATGGGAGCTAGAAGCTGGATTACCCTCCTGGAAGGTGCTGAAGCATCAGCTTTTGCTAGTGATCTCGCCGCCTAATCGAACATATCGCGTGTGATCGCGTTTCTTTGCCATCCGACAGGGTAGTTGGAATTAGTAGACTTTGTCCAAGCGTTGCGAAGTCTCACTTCTGGGATGGCAGCCGATCCTCTCCCCGAGGCGGTCACAGTGACCGTCTTTATGAAGGGCCACTACACTGGTGTGGCCAAAATGGAAGCCTTTCAATGCACTCGTCTTCTTTTGAAGTAGCAGTAAATTTGACATTGATGCCGAATTTAACTTTAATTCGGCGTGCCTTGGCTGGAATGCACCCTCCGGTAGTTAGTCGAGCGGGCCTGATCCGACGGTCCTCAGCTTGCTGAGGACGAGAATGCAGAGCTCAGAGCTGCCGGGCAGCGTTCGAACACCCGGCGGTGTGTTGTCTGTCGAGACACTAGTGACCTTTGGATTTGTTATCCCCTGCGCAAGGCGCAGCAAGGCTCATCCAACCGACGCCCCGCTTCTAATTAGTATGGTTTGCCGCAGGGAAACGATAGCCCTACTAGGGAAGAACTGAGTTCTTTTGAGCCTCAAACAGATAGAGGGATGCAAGGTCCAGTCCCAAAGAGCTGCGTGCTCTTAAAAACGGGACGTGTATGGGCTTGCTGTTCGTATAAGCGACCGTGAAGGGCCTTGAAAAGCCATCGAAAATCCTTATAGATTCCGAGCGTTGGATAATTATGCTCGACGCTTCACGATCGAAGGAACTCAGCTGTATGCTGAAGCGCTGGAAGCACGGTTGAGTGACACTGTCTCCGATCGCTTAGCGACGGGGACTTGTGGCACTGTGCAATGGGTTCCTGTTGACCTCGGTGTCAAGTTTCTTAACCTCGATGCGTGAAATGCTGCTTGGTCTTAGACTTGGATGCAAGGTTTGACCTTATGACAGGGCTGGAACACCGTGGACCATGGATTGACGGAAGGTCGAAGGCCTTGGATGCAACGCGCGTGGAACATTGGTGAGTCATGAACCCACCTTTGCTAGAAGGTAAAATTGCTATCGATGCGGGCACTGGACCGAGACAGTCAACGTGCTGAATAACGGAGTTTCCGAGTTGGTTCAAACCGTAGGTGTATCGGACAGGGGTCCCGAGCATGTTTCGCCGGTTGAACGTGAAGTGGCACGTTACCCACTGAGTGCTGCTCAAGTATCGGAGCAGTCGTTTCATGCAATACGTAGCCTGGTTAGCTCCTTCACTGTGTTGAATACAACCGGAGCAGAGTGAGCACTCTTCCGAACCGAATGCTGGTCAGGGTAGCGCTGTTAGCATATGCAAAGGGTTTGTGCTGGTACTGGGCTTCCGCAGAACTTGCTGTGTCGAGTTGGCGCGAGTCGCGTAGCTGTTTTCGGACACAGGAGACGCTAGGACGCTAAAAGAGATTTCTAATCAGCAGGTGGCTTTTGTGGTTGCTGACTGTCGACAAAGTGACATTTTTCACTAAATTTTGGCGGTGTTCACCTGTTGAAAAAAAAAAACTTAAGAACTCAGACTGAGAGAAAGTTCCATGAGTATGATTATATGGTCAATCTTCTGTAGCGGGGGCAATTTTGTTTCGTCGGGGTAGACACCATCCCCGTCATGGAGAACTGAGAGGTCGTTTATCAAGAAACCCTCCACTAGTCATTTTTTTACAGTTGGAAGCATATCTCGCCAAACTTGAACCGCAGCAGCGCCATGAGCAAGCTAAGGTGGAGCAGGCGGTTATTGTGCGCTGATATTCACGCTATTAACCTACCAATGATATTTCAGAGCCAGTAGTCATTTTCGTAGAATTGTGACGCTATAAACATGAGCATGAACTCAGAGAAAGTCATAGCTTTGAGTGCTTGCACAGGCTCCTTTGTGTATCTTTGTGATAGCTTCCATCGCTGTGCTCCACGCTAAAATGTTATGTCTTTTCTTGGACCCTTATCACCAATTTTTTGTCACACTTGGTTGCAAACTGGTCGAATCTTTAGATTTGCTCAGTTCGAGGATAAACAGATGCAACTGCGTCAAGACGCTGACTTGCAAGTTGTTGACGGTCATCTCTTGGACGGGTACGGTGATATATGTTATAGATGCTGAGCACGAAGCTTAGTACACCACTGTTTCTGCGTTGCTGATGTTTCGCAACACCATGCGCAAACCAGGGAGTCTGAGGTTTCGGCAACCGCAAAGCGATTTGGCTGGAGCTGGAGATCGACAATTATCCCCATCGTCTCTATCTCCGAAATAATCTAATGGACTGGCGCTGCCTTCTCAGTCTTCACAGCGCTAAGGTGTGGTGCTTGGTGAGGAAAGGGCTGCAATAGTCGACTCGCTGAGCTCGGCTGGAGCCTTTACCTTGTAAAGGCACAATCTGAAGTGTCGACCGTGCCACACATCGAGAGCGGCCGACAAGCAGTGAAAATCCGCAGCAATATTCCTGAACACGTCGCAGTAGTTGCTCGTCGCAGGGGATTCGGTCTTCTCTTAATGGAGATGTCAGCAAAGTTGATTGCACAGTGCATTTGCTTTCCATTCTTCTTGTTTTTGGTCGTTAATTCGATAGAGGAAGCTCCAGATGCCTTCAAGTGAATTTTGGACTTCGAAGCGACGTCAACACCACCGGCCCTATCTGTGCTCAGTGAAGGCTTGCAGTGAGCGCTTTTCGTTCGTGTCATAACAGCGACCGCTATCTTCTCTGTCAGGTCACATTGATTTAGAAGTGGTGGGTAAGGATAACGATTTTTTAAAAGCGATACTTGCATTAGAAAATGGTGATGTCCTGGCTTTCCAGACGCTTCCTTGTTCCTAGCCTTGAGTTACAGTTTTCTCACCATAACTTGATGAGCTGCTCAAGCTGGTTTAGATCCATTCGCTACTTCTGGGCAGCGTATTTGCCGTGGATTGGCGAAGGACGCGAGATCCTTGCTCGTTGAAGATTTTATAGAAGCTTGTCCAGTCTTGACCACCACCATGTAGCGTACTCTGGGCAGCGCATACGAATGGATTCCAATAAATCGTGCAGCAAGCGTGCTTTAGCTTAATTTGATCTCTGCAGCAAGCGATTTCAGTGTTTGATCAGTGTTTCTCAACGACATTGCGTCAAAACACCTTGGTCCGTTGCACTAGGGTACGCAAGGTTGGTAGGTGCGTGCCCTGTACTGCGTTTATGTTCGCAGTCGCTTCGATGTCTCCTCACTTTAATACACGTGATTTGTTGTCACACGACTGAAGTTAGCCCATCATCGGCCATCAGTGCGGGTACCGCTGACATACGACCTGGGTTCTTTTGCATAAACGGCACAGATCCAGAGCCACTGCCCTTATTCTTTTTAGGAGCTGGAAAGAGCACAATGTTTCCGTTCGTACTGTCCCCCTTTTTTGAAGATGGAAAATTCACCCTGTCGTCAGTAGGTGCGAATTGCACTGCACTTCCGTTCCCGCTGCCCTTCTTGCTTGAAGGAAGATTGACATATGGCTACCGCAGTTGACATTAGGAGCGAAATGCGCTGTTACAATCTAGCAATTGTTTACTTCTTCCGTAGTTAGAAGCCGCTGTTAATCATAAAATTAGAAATCATGTCACGTCCTAGATAGATCTTCCGATGCTATCTAACTTGTCCATACAATTTTAATTGAATTTCGTCCTACCATAGTCTAGTATATCCTTCAAGTATTTAATTGAACATGGCATACAGATAATGACTTCTTCTGACGATTTTATTAAAAATTTGCCACTTTCATAACGAGAGGTTCGCTCCAAAGCATTTTTAAGCACAGAGGTCAGATCTTTTAGTCGATCAAATTTTGACTATCTACGAGCTATGACCAGTCATTCTGACATTGATGATACCAGCTAAACGGGATCTCAGCTCTGCTGACGACATTGTGAGGGATTCATGCAATGACCTTGGTCGAGATACAAGATATTATTTGATGGTTGGGTTCTACCATTATTTGTACGTGCATTTATATGGTGTGTCATCTGAAACATCCATTTTGTGTTTTGCGACGATTCATCTTGAATTTTAACATATTCAGCTATCCCAGATCGAAACTGTAGGCTCTTAACCAAAACATAAATTTGATAAGAATACCAATGAGATTCTAAGCGGAAGTTTAGCAAGCATTCGTGTTCTAAAACGAATCACTCTTGTCCGTATAGTAGAATCTAGCGACAAAGTTGATTCAATTGCTTTCGTGATGGATTCTTCAATCGCAGCTGGATCTAGCTCGACATTGTTCGACATGCAATCATAAAGGCGGTTTCTCTGTTTCAGATTATACTTTGCAGTTCATAGCATAAGTCAGGACTGTAATTTTTCGGATACTACGACAAGTTGTCGTAGTATCCTCAACCCGAACTAGAAGAGAAAGGTAGAGAAGAGAAGAGAAGAGAAGAGAAGAGAAGAGAAGAGAAGAGAAGAGAAGAGAA